CGACTATTCACACGTAACACATTCTATATATGGATGTATATGTACAACAATATCGATAAAAATGTAAAAAATGGAAACGTTATGGTGGGCGACTATCGACGGATTTTGCTATTTACGATTTATATTAAAGACACTTAAGCAGCAAGACAAGGATTACACACAAAAAAAAACAAAAGAGAAGGATCAAATAATTTATGAACACACGTTCGAAGTTTCGAGTCCGACATTGTTTATAGACGTAGTTTATTAAAGCAAACATTTTTTTGTTTTTAGCTTTTAGCCAGTAATAATTTAGCCGTTGACCAATGACCACTTAATCTAGTCGACATCTAATTTTTAATACTTTCTCTATTTAAAAATATAAGTTGTTTTACTTAAAATCACGCATATTAAAAAACTATTTTTTACTAAAAAATATCATTTAATATATCTAATAAAAATAATTTGACCAGTCACATAAAAAACTGCAAAATATAAGTGATTACACAATATTTAATAAAATTAAAAAGTATCCAATATTATCAAAAAATTTACATTAAAAAAAAAAGCTAAAAAACATTTTAAAAGAGAAAGAGTATAAAATAAGCTCAATTATTAATCAATTTATAGTGTATGGATTTATGTTTATCGGGTTGCGGAAAAGGATCACGAATCTAAAGAAGGTGGGCCATTTTTTCTTCCATAGCTAAGAAAATTAGGTGTCTAAATTTATTAATTTATGAAAAAAACAGGTAAGTTTGGTAGAATATTTCGTTTTTAAAAGAGAAAATAAATACTAAAAATGGATAACCGCAATTACTCAATTAGGTGTTCGTCAACTTTTCATGCCCTGAGATGTTGATTAATTATAGGCTTATAGCATAACATCATTAATTTTTATGTATTTGATAATTAACGATTTCCTTACGAAAAAACGTATATTTCTTGAACAAAAAAGTATAAACATTAAGACCGAAAAAAACAAAAATAGTATATTCTTTTTCAGAACGTACGAACAATAAATAGCAATCAACAGAGAACCGAAATTGAACGGTTCGCGAATCACCACCTTGTTCCTGTCCTTGCCACGTGTGAAATGGGCCAATATTCGACAATGTTTTGGCGGCCCAATACTCACATGGCCCATTACTATAAAAGCATATACCACGTTGGTGCTGACTGTACGTATGTACAAGTTTTTACGAGTTAATATGTATAAATATGCTATATGCGACTGAACCAAACAAAAGCCTTAATATTCTCTTGCTTCTTCACTTTAATATAACCTCAAAGAAATAACTAAAGAGAAGAAGAAACAAAAACGACATAGTTTTGATATAGACACCATAGAACAATAATAATATCTTCTTCTTTTTTCTCTATTTTAACGTTTCTCTGTTCTTTGATCCGATCATCAATGGAGAGATACGATATCTTAAGAGATCTTGGTTCCGGTAACTTTGGAGTTGCAAAGCTCGTTAGAGAGAAAGCTAACGGCGAGTTTTACGCCGTTAAATACATCGAAAGAGGCGTTAAGG